AGAGGACACAGGGGAGTTAGGTGCCAGGTTTCTGGGAGAACCCCAGCCTAAAGTAATTGGAATGTTCAGTTCCTTTGAAAATCTTACTCTAAGTGACATTCCCCAGGTCACAAATAAAGTCAGTGCTTCAGTCAGGAGATGGGAAGCTTCATAACTCCCCTTTTCCTATTCTAACCACTTGATCCCACTCTCCCCTGAGAGCTGGGGACAGAACCTAGGAGTGATAACTCCCAACCCTTTCTGCTCTACTCACTAATCTGCTCCCAAACCTGGGATAGACCCCAAGGAGTCCTGGCGCACAAAGCCCCTCTTCTGTAAGCCACTGGACCCAATTCCCTTCCCAAATCCGGGATAGAACCCAGGAGTCCTGACTCCCAGATTCTCAGACACACAACACTCTGCTCTCTGCGTAGGTTTGGGTAAGGAATCCAGGACTCCTGGCTCCTAGTCCTCACAACCTCTCCTTTTTAACCACTTAGATCCCACTCTCCTCCCGGAGCTGGAAAGAGAAGCTGGATTCCTGACTCCAAGCTCCCCTGCTCTAACCCACTGGACCACGCTCCCTTTCCAAAAGTGAAGATAGAATCCAGGAGACCCCAGTCCCCCTTCTCTAATCACTGACCGCTCTGACTTCCTTTAACATTCATTTCCTGAGCTGCACAGATGCTTCCCCGCAAGAACAGAAAGGGGAGGAGAGAGGTAGCGACAAAGTAACCACTTGGTTGTTTTATTATCTGCCACTGAAGCATGTACACGTCATGCAAATCAGCCAATTGGCTTTCTCCTTTAAATAGAAGCTCCCAGAGGTTTTTGTCCATCTGACTCTTGAATGGACAGCTTCATTCTTGTTAAATCTTCCCGTAAAAGAATGATGAAAGCTTTGATCATTTCCCTTGGCCTACTCATCCTGAGGCCCTGTGAGTATTGACAGGAGGCAGTGGGACGTAGTTATTTGTCTAACACGTAACACCATCTTTTTGGGTGATGGATTCCTTCTTTCTTGTGTGTGGTTGCTTGTGCTTTGAATTCTCCCTCCCCTTTTCTTCCCAGGGGTCCTTTCTCGGGTGCAATTGACACAGCCACAGAGAGCAGGTTCTGAAACCCTCAGGGTCACTCCAGCTGACCTGCGCTGTGGCTGGTGTCCCCATCACTGATTCTTACGACTGGAGATGTGTCCCTCGGACTCGACAGAGCCAGCTGGAATGGACTGGATACACCTTCCCCCATCATTCCAAAACCGATTACTCATATACAGGGACACTTCCAGAAATGAGTATTATGTCGTATTGAATACACCGACCACTGAAGACAGCGCCACCATTTATTATTGTGCTGAAAATAAATACCATTGCCTCTCTGGTGCAGTAATACATGGTGGTGCCTGCAGCTGCCAGGGAGCGGAGCCGCAGGGAGACCCGGTTCTTAGAGGAATCAGGGGAGATGGTGATTCGGCTCTGGAAGGATGAGCCGTAGTTTGTTTACCAGGTGGAACCGCTGTAATATCCCCGTCACAGTCATTCCAGCCCTTTCCTGGGGGGCTGCCGGACCCAGTGCCAGCCATGACCACTAGTGATGGACTGACCCGAGACGGTGCAGGTCAGGGTGAGGGTCTCTCCGAGTGTCGCCGCTCCCGGCCGGACTGGACCAGCTGGATCTGGGCACGGACACCTGCAGAAAGGAGGGAATTTCAGGAATTGTAATGCTGTTCCGAGCACTGACCGGGGACTCCCCCTGCTCTTCTGAAGTCAAAGAGCATTTCTCCCTCCAGTACAAGCGAAGCAGAACTTTTCCTACCCCCTCCCACAGACACTCACAAGAATGGGTGGCTAAGAGGAAAAGGAAGGTGAAGAACGAGTCCATGGTGGGCTGAATTGATGAACAGACTCCCCAGCGGGCAGGACCGGGCAGTTCAGTGCCTGGGGAGTGACTGAGGTGCCTAGAACCAGGGTTTGTATTTAAACAGGAACCCCCGGGGCAGGGATTTGCATGCGGGTTTCACCCAGCAGGGATGGGAGATGAAAGCGGCTGGCACAGGGTGGCGGTTCGGGGCTAAATGGGGGAAACAGATCGAGGTGCTGCTGCAGCTACCGCCCTGCAGTGGAACATGAGAGAATTGACTAGCTGATAAATGAGGGCTGGTGTCAGGTGGAGGGAGAGTGGGTGAGTTTATCTCTCTGGGCCTGGCCACTGTCATCAGTCGAAACTCAGGATTTGATTGGTCTGGGCGGTGAGGCTCTCAGATCAGCTTCAGAAGCAGAAAATAAAGAAGTTTACTCAGGGGAACTTGGAAATAACCTTAAATATGGTTAATTTAGGGCTGGCTTCTGCTCCCAGTTAAATCACTGGTGAAACTGCCAGGGTCCCGTCCTGCCCCCAGTGACAAGGATCTAAACTAATCCGCAGATATCAGTGATGTGATGCTGGATTTGTACCAGTGTAAATGAGAGTAGAATCTGGTTTTCACTGATGAGACAACAGCAGGATTGGACCAGATGGAGAACAGGTCTGATTCCAGTAGAGCTGGGTTGGAAACGGGTTGTGCCTCCCCCCGAAAACTATGACTTTTCTTCAAGAAAAGAAAAGAAAAAACTCTGACAAGTAACATTTTCAATTATCACCAACTTTAAAAAAAATTGGCCAAAAACCAAAATATTTTTCAGCCAAATACCCAAAATTGATATTTTATGGAAAAAATGGTTTAGCTGAATATCTAATTTTCCATTGCAGAAAAGCCCTGAAAAGAAATTTCTTCCTATCCATTTCAGTCATTGCTATAGCGCTATTTACCATAGTGTCTGAGTACTTCACTCACAGTCTTTCCTGTGTTTTGTGATCATAACTCTCCTGTGAAGTAGGGAAGTGTCATTTCCCTATTACATAAATGGGAAACTGAGGCACAGAAAGCCACCTTATCACAGGTATTTAGGCAGCTACTGAGATTTTGAAAAGCACCGAGGTGTCAAAAATTTATTGAAATCATTGGGAGTTAGGCAACATCCTAAGCACCCAAATTTATTAAAAATAGTTGGTTCTGGGTGAGCTAAATTTCTCAGGTGCTCCTGCAAATCCCACCAGATGCCTATCTGCAACTTTAATTGCCTAACTTTGAAAATCTGGCCAAGAGAGACGTATGCAAGGGAAGTCTTGTGCCTGGGGAGGAAATACAATCTCCATCATTGGAGAGTTTTAAGAGCAGGTTAGAGTCTAACCCGTTAGACAAACACCTGTCAGAGGAGGTCTAGAGATTATACTTAGCCCTGCCATGAATGCAGGGGACTGGACTAGAACGAGATGACCTCTCGAGGTCCCTTCCAGTTCTATGATTCTAAGTCTTTGCTAGAGCGAGGAGGCGGGAAATCTCACAGAGACTAATGAATGGCCAGATTTTCAAATGGGAATTATTAGGTGTCCAAATACGTTTATAAATCTGGCCCTAAGTGATTTGCCTCAGGTCTCGCAGAGTAACAAACAGGGCAGATGCACCTCTGGCCAGCTCCCTGATCCCCGAATCACTCTTCCTCCAGGTCAATACAGATTTGAACTAATTAGGCCAAACCAACTGGAAACATTTCAGGGTTGGAAACGAGCTATCAGCGCAAAGGGGGAAAGATCACAGGCGGCTTAGGAGAGGGCAGGGTGGTTTTAATGGGGAACAGATGTAGCCGCCTCATTCAGGGGGGATTCTGCCCTCCTGGGGTCTTGTCCTGCTGTGTATCACCGTGGGTCCCAACTGGCACCATCCTCTTAAACTTGGGGGGCTGGCACTGTCAGAGCGAGATTGATTCCTGGTCAGATCTGCTCCTGCAGTGGTAGTCTCTGTTTCCCCACACACACACCATGAGGACCCCTGCCCAGAGAGCACTGGGGATGGGTGAGATGGGCCGATTTCTGAGACTCCCAGACGGACTTTCATGACAAAATGTAAGATGGTTTATATAGAGAATGGGGAGGGAGGGGGAGGGACAGAGGAGACAGTCTCCCAGTTCACCTTCCCTGCAACAGACCCACACTGACCTATCCTCACCCAGCTTCGGCTGTTTGGGGACAGCAATGAGGCTAGTGCACACGCGGATACACACACAAACGCGGAAGCAGCAGAGAGCTGCAGCCACACACGCAACCGTTCTGTTTGAAACCCGACTACAGACTGTATTTCTCACCATTGTGCGCCCACAATCCCTGCCCTTCTTCCAATAAAGCCCAGCAGCTGCATCTTCTCCTGATCCCCAGTTCCTTCCACGTTCACCAAAACGGTTTGTCAGTCTCTGGTAGCTAAAACCAGCTTCCCTGTCCCTGCAGCTGCGGCTCCTTCCCATCAGAAATCCCGGGGAGTCCCATTTCTACTGACAGTGTCTCTGCCTTGGCTATATTTGTTTTAAATGCTCAGCATATTTTGCAATAGCCACTGCTCCAATGGAGGGACATCCGCTGACTTCAACGAGCTTTTGGTCACACAAAATAAAGGGGACCTGTGACTTCCCGTCCACCAGACACCACGGCCTAGCCAGACGTCTCCCTGGTGGTTTATCTCCATTTGGTGACCCTTGCCCCATGGAGTTCTCCTGAGTCCCAGCCCAGGCCCCCGCCCCCTGGACCCTCCTTCCTACCCTCACAGCCACCTCCTGTCATTCTATGTGTGCTGAGCTGGGCACAGTGCCCCTCTCTGTGCTGTAAAGGGGACATCGCCATGTACTGAGCACACACCCCCGCCGTCTCTTATACCCGCCCTGGGGAACCCGCATGCAAATCCCTCCCCGGGGGTTCCTGTTAAATACCAACCCCTGGTTCTATAGGAACCTCAGCATCCCCCCAACCACAGAACTGCCCTGCCCTGCCCGCTTCCCTCATTCTATGAAAACAAGAATGAAATCTCTGTTGCTTTTCCTTTCCCTGCTCTCTGCTCTCACCTGTGAGTGTCTCTGGGAAAGGAGGGAAATAGGGGCCGATCCATAAATTTGTTCCGTGATTCATTCATTCCTCTCTTTGTTTCCCTCTCCCAGGTGTCATCTCTCAGGTGCAGCTGGTCCAGACCGGCCTGGGGACGGTGAAAGCTGGAGAGACCCTCAGTATCACCTGTAAAGTCTCTGGCGTCTCCGTCAGCAACTACTATTGGAGCTGGGTCCGGCAGCCCCCTGGGAAAGAGCTGGAGTGGATGGGGTTTATCCGACACACAGTTAACGGGGGGACCACAGAGTATAACTCGGCTTTCACACCTCGTGTCACCATCACCAGGGACACCTCAAAGGACGAAGTTTATCTCCAGCTCCGCTCGCTGACAACTGCAGACACCGGCACCTATTACTGTGGCCGCCACACACAGTGACACAGAGCAAAGCTGGGAAGGGCACAAAAAGGAGAAGCGGATTTCTAAAGCACCAGCCGACTGGAACACACAGTCCATGCTCTAGGGGATGAGACAGACAGGCGGGGCATTGCCCACAGCGGGGTCTCAGGAGCCACCCGCGTTTCTCCCCGACATCCCACCCTCTCCCAGCCCCTTCCACCAAGGGACTTTAAACACTCCGCTTCTTCGTGGTGCGCAGTGACAAGTGCACCCAGAGACTCACCGAGACAGGAGTGATGGCTTGGGCTCATATTTTGGGCACTTATCCCGACACACCTTGATCCTAATCTCCAGATGCCCAGTGCCTGTATCTCCCATTGGCTTCACCCCTGGGGACCAGGCTCTCTGTGTCTCCAGGCTCCCACATTGGGAAACCACTTCAGGATATGCTGTCCCATGGGAGTAAATTTCATCGTCACTCAGCACACACTGGGCTCTACCTGAAATCAGTGGGAGCTGCAGGTGCCCATTACCTCCGAAAATCAGCCCTGAGTTACATGGATCATGAGAGGAAAGATGGCTTGAGGGAAAAGGAGCTCAGCACATGCTGTAGCCACCCCTGCTCCTCCAATGGAAACACACCGGCTCATTTCACTGGGCTTCGGATCAGGCCCTAAGACAGGAACGGGATGTGTGACTCCCCAGTTCACTAGACAGGACCCCCAAGACACAGGCCTTCCAATTAGTGTATCCCACCTCGGTGAGACCATCTGCCAGTTCCCAGACCCGCGGGTTCTCCTGAGTCCCAGCCCAAAGCCCCGTCCTCAGTACCTGGCTTCCTTCCCTCACAGCCTCCGTCTGTCATTACAGGTGCGCTGAGCTGAGCGCAGGGTCTCTCTGGGGTGCAAAGGGGACACCTGTCCCCGAGGGGACATCACCATGTACTGAGCGCTCACCCCCGTCATCTCTTATACCGGCCCTGGGAACCCACATGCAAATCCTGCCCCGGGGGTTCCTGTTAAATACAGACCCCTGGTTCTAGGAGCCTCAGTCTCTCCCCAGACACAGAACCGCCCGGTCCTGCCCGTTGGGGAGTTTCCCTAATTGTATGAAACAAGAATGAAATCGCTGCTGCTTTTCCTGTCCCTGTTCTCCGCCCCCAGCTGTGAGTGTCTACGGGGCAGCAGGGACATTAGGAACAGATCCATAGATTCTTTCGGTGGTTAATTCTTTTCTTTTCTTTTATCCTGTTTCCCCAGGTGTCCTCTCTCAGGTGCAGCTGGTCCAGTCCGGCCCAGGAGCAGAGAAGCCCGGAGAGACCCTCACCCTGACCTGTGCTGTCTCCGGGTTCTCCATCACTACTCAGCATTACCATTGGCACTGGCTCCGGCAACCCCCTGGGAAAGGGCTGGAGTGGATGGGGTATGTGTACCCATACAATAGCGGGGAGACAGGCTACGCCCCGTCTCTCCAAGGCCGAGTCACCATCTCTGCAGACACTGCCAAGAACCAGTTCTCCCTGCAGCTCCGCTCGCTGACAGCTGCAGACACCGCCACCTATTACTGCATCAGGAGGAGAAATTACACAGTGACACAGAGCAAAGCAGGGACTGGTACAGAAAGGAGAAGCTGTTTCCATGCAGACATTGAGAGCACTTTAATGCACCATGCATTGCATCAGCTCCCTGCCGGGTAGGAAAGTAAAACAGGGTTTTATCACACACAACACCCCCCCCCAACCAACACAACAAACAAACAAAAACCACAAGGAGTCCTGTGTTCCAGGACTGTCCATTCAGGTCTGACACATTTCACAGAGAGGCCCTGGTCAGATCTCAGTATAGAACCGCTGTGACAGGTGCCCATTGCCACATCTGGAGCTGGAACTATCCCACATTTTAATCCGGGTTAGAACTGGCAAAGAGCCAACCTTCCATTTACATGCCAGAACTGTTTTGAATTGACTTCAGCTTGTTGGTGCGGAGCTGCTGGGAAAATCTGACCCGGTCCCTGAGGGTCACCAGTGGAGCTGTGTGCTGAGAAATGGCTAAGCTCTGGCCCGCATTCAGGTGGCTACATGGGATGGGAGCACAGACTTCTGTAGATCCCTGGTGGGTAGTGAAACCTGGAATACGCAATTCAGGGAATGTGGTTGTTAGTGTGGGTTAGAAGGTGGAGCACCTAGGAGCTCTCATGCCCAGGTGCGGGATCTCCCTGGTGAGTGCAGACTGTGCCATGCAACGTCTGAGTCTTCAGTTGGTTATATACAGGGGGCTACAACTCATCTGGGCCTGTTTACCTAGAATCCTCGGCAGGGCCGGCTCTAGGCACCAGCAAAACAAGCTGGTGCTTGGGGCGGCACATTTTTAGGGGCGGCATGGCCGGCGCCAGAATGCCGCCCCTATAAATGTGCCCCGACCACCCTAGCTCACCGCCGCTGCTGCCGCTCAGGCACCATGGCGCACAAAACAGCTGATTTGCGCGCTGCTGCCCATTCTCCCTCCCAGGATCTCAAACCTGGAAGGGAGGGGGAGATCCCGAGCAGCCGCGGCATGTGAAACAGCTGATTCGTGCGCCGCTGCTCCCCCTCCCTCCCAGGCTTGAGAGCCTGGAAGGGAGGGGGAGATCCCAAGCGGCCGCAGCGAGCGAAACAGCTGATTCGTGCGCCGCTGCTCACCCCCGCTCCCAGGTTTGAGAGCCTGGAAGGGAGGGGGAGATCCCGAGCGGCCGTGGCGCGTGTGCCGCTTCTCCCCCTCCCTCCCTCCCTCTCTCCTAGGCTTGAGGGCCTGGGGGAAGGAGGCAGGGCTGGGGATTTCCGGAAGGGGCGGAGTTGAGGCAGGGCCAGGGGTGGGGTAAGAAAAAAATGGGGGGGGGGCGCAAAATTGTTTTTGCTTGGGGCGGCAAAAATCCTAGAGCCGGCCCTGATCCTTGGCCAGGGAAGTGGGACAAAGCCTGAAATGGCAGGGTGAGCTGTAATACCTTGTAGCCAGCAATTCTTCTGTATCCACCTAGAGGGCAGGACAGTGACCATGAGCCGGTCCATCAAAAGAACCAAAGACTTGTGACCAGGGGGTTTAACAAAATCCCACTTCCGAGGAATTGCAACCGCCCAGAGAGAGCTCGGCAGACGGCAGGAGCCAAACTGGTGATTCCTGGGTGCCGGAGGCCATTTATCCCTCATGAACAAACACTGGAGATGGAAGAGTCTTGGGGGCCTGGTCTACACTACGAGTTTAGGTCGAATTTAGCAGCGTTAAATCGAATTAAGCCTGGACACATTCACACGGCAAAGTCCCTTTTTTCAACTTAAAGAGCCCTTTAAACCGGTTTCTTTACTCCACCTCCGACGAGGGGATTAGCGATAAAATCGGCCTTAGCGGGTCGGAATTGGGGTAGTGTGAACGGAATTCGACGTTATTGGCCTCCGGGAGCTATCCCACAGTGCTTCATTGTGACCGCTCTGGACAGCACTCTCAACTCAGATGCACTGACCAGTAGACAGGAAAAGCCCCGCGAACGTTTTAATTTCATTTCCTGTTTGCCCAGCGTGGAGAGCACAGGTGACCATGCAGACTTCATCAGCACAGGTAACCATGATGGAGTCCCAGGATCGCAAAAGAGCTCCATCATGGACCGAACGGGAGGTACGAGATCTGCTCGCCATATGGGGAGATGAATCAGTGCTAGCTGAACTCCATAGCAGTAAACGAAATGGCAAAATATTAGAAAAGGTCTCCAAAGCCATGAAGGACAGAGGCCATAATAGGGACGCACAGCAGTGCCGCGTGAAAATTAAGGAGCTACGGCAAGCCTACCACAAAGCCAGAGAGGCAAATGGAATGTCCGGGACAGAGCCGCAAACATGCCGCTTCTACGCGGAGCTGCATGCCATACTAGGGGGTGCAACCACCACTACCCCAACTGTGTGCTTTGACTCCTTCGATGGAGAAACACACAGGGAAGTGGGTTCTGGTACAAGGAAGATGAGGATGAAGATAATGTAGATAGCTCACAGTAGCAAGGAAGTGGAGAAACCGGTTTCCCCAACAGCCAGGATATGTTTATCACCCTGGACCTGGAACCAGTAACCCCCGAACTCACCCAAGGCATGCTCCCAGACCCTGAGGGCACACAGGGGACCTCTGGTGAGTATATCTTTGTAAATATTACACATGGTTTAAAAGCAAGCGTGTTTAATGATTAATGATTCATTTGCCCTGCCAATCACGGCCAGTACAGCTACTGGAAAAGTCTGTTAACATGTATGGGGATGGAGCAGAAATCCTTCAGGGACATCTCCAGAAAGCTCTCCTTCATGTACTCTCAAAGCCTTTGCAAAAGGTTTCTGGGGAGGGCTGCCTTATCCCGTCCACCATGGTAGGACACTTTACCACGCCAGGCCAGTAGCATGTAGTCTGGAATCATTGCATAACAAAGCATGGCAGCGTATGG